AGAAGCATAAGGTACTGTTAAGGGTTCGATCCCCCGTGGCGACTAAATTTTGCATTTGGGTTGGCGCCTACGGTTTGGTGCCAAATCGCGCTAAATATCAAAATCAGATGTCAAATTCATCGTCAGGACCATTTTGAAGCCAACAAGTGGCCGCCAACCTTGATTGCAAAATTTAGTCGCCGCGGGGGATTGAACCATCAAGAGTATTATTCACCATTTTACTACTAAAACCGTTCAGCGAAAACGAAACATGGTTTTGTGGTCCATACATGCGTCCCTACAACATGTACTAAACCGTTTCCAAAAAGCGCACCTTGCCCTGAAAGACCTCCCTTGTAAGGCGCAACCTAGGAGAAGGTACGGATCTGCTATTGAGAGAAGCTTCATTAAGCCACGATCGCAACTTCGAGAGTTTCCAGTCGGGATACATAACTTTCAAAAGGAGGGTCAAATAACTCAAGGAAGAACTGATCTGTTTATCATGCTTTGTCGCGATTGCCTGTGGTCGTCCAGCTAGCTTATGGTCACAAAAAAGTACAAATTCTGCTGAGAGGCACGACCTTACCTGAATAACGTAGGAAAAAGAACTTTTGAGAGATTTTGCGCATCCATGGCGGTACTAGGAGACGAGGCAACCTGCAACCATTTCAATTAATAGTGTTCATTCATTCGGATCAAGAAAAAATCCGACTCACTCTTTCTAAATGAGATGTGAAATAGATGAGGACGTTACGATTTACTGGTGTTAATCGGCTCATGACTGCATGCAGTTGTTCAACGACCTTAAAAACAAAACAGCAGTGGTATTACAGTATTCTTGATTTTTGCGGTAAGGCTTGCTGTACGCGCAAAGAACACAATCCTACCTCAGATCCATTAATGCAGTCAAGGATATCCTGATGTAATTCCATCGGGATTAGCGGTTCTGCCAGACAACTGAAAAAGTTCTTCACCGCTGTCGCCACCACGTGCACCGGCATGTCCATACTCGCAATGTCCACATCACCCTACAATCGATTTCGTGAATGGTTGGTTACCAAAAATTGCATCAATACCTTCACTTTGATTAGATTTTGTATATGTAGATTCATTTTGGAACCTAGATATATTCACAGATATTACAAAAGTGTCACTGAACTCTTGAAGCAGGATACCAATCTTCTCAGCTGAACACGGCTGTCATGAGATCTCCTTATTCCGCTAAAGTTAGTTCCATGCAAAAAGTTGCCACACTTTTCGTTCCCACTCGCGAAGTTCTTCCATAGTAATAATTACAATCAGATCTTCCAGTGACTTTGTTCAGAAGGGCAAAAAGTTGATAGTCACCTTTTCTCGGAAAGCTTTTTCCAGCTCGCTCAGTTGAGCTTGGTTTCCCGGCACACGGTACAAGCCTTCCATTTCCAGACCGCCTTCCTAAATGAAGATTGCAATTAATAGAACCACTTCTTTTGACTATGCTCACGTTTAAAAGGTACACAACGAATGGTAGAAGCATAGCGAACGCTAGTTCAAGCATCATAAATTGCGCAAAACAAGGTTACTCGTCATCAGGAACCAGGGTAACATAGGTAGGTGGTCAATCCAAATACGATTAGTAAAAATTTCTATAAACCATTCTCTCAGATCGTTCGAGTTCGAAGCCAGAATTCAAAATATCTAAATGATAGAATAAATTTTGAAAGCACTTACAGTGAAGCTCTAACAGAGTAGCAACACGCAAGTAACCTCACAACATAATGCTTTGGAACTCCTCCAAAAATGTATGAAAAGTCTAGGTATACTTGTAGGAAAGCCTTCAGGTGAGCTCCGTAATTTCTCTGGATAGAATGCAATGAAGAAGACTCAAGACCGCAATCGAGCTGATGTGGTAGATTGGGAAATAGAGTCACAAAGAATTAGTTGGCATAGACCGTTAGGACTTGGCTGGCCAGAGACAGAGAACCAGAGAGAGCCGCAATCTATACAACGTCAATGGGCATTTAAGTTCCCTCACTCGCTCATGGCTGAATGAGTACGGTGGAACTGAAGAATTCTTCAAAGTGAGGAAGAAATTTTCTAGAGTAAGTGTGAAAAGGATCCAAGATCCCCACCCAGTGTTTAAGATCCCATCATATCGACCAACCTTCAAAATTGACCGAAACTGAGGAAAATAGAGGACCGCTGCTTAATGACAGTCTCCTCACCCGTGGGGCATGTGAACACAATCCCAGGAATGACAGCCTGGCTACGCACCGAGATGGCTAATCGAGAGGCTTTCAACTTTCAGGGACCTCTTACATATCGGCCAGGTACTTTAGCCGTCTAGGCTCCCAGTAGGTTGTACATGTGTTTTCCACGAGGTTTACTCGCGGTAATTTTTTTTAATGAAAAATTCTCAGGAAGAGTGAAGTAGCCATACCCAACCGTTACCATGAAAATAACCCATCAAAAAAGACGCCAATAATTCCCCCTTCACTTGAATAAAGGATCTATATGAAGTTTGAGGTTCAAGGTAGAGCCTAAGAAGTTGAAACGTAAGCAACTATAAAGATGTTTTGGTTCGTTCTTTTTTCAAAAAAATATTATTAATGGTGATGAGGAAAATTAAAATGAGAGCGTTTATGGTGCTCGTCATTCTGTAATTCAGAGGCCGCGTCTCGAGGTGAGTCATAACAGGAGACACCTATATAATTAGATAAATCTACAGGGGAACCCGAATTATGTCCTGCACGAGTGTTGACAATCTATGCTGCCGACACGCCCACTCGTCTGTGATTGGCTGCACGCGTGAGTATTGGTATTTGCTTGCACATGCGTCCCAACCAATCACCGCCGAGTGGGCGTGTCTGCAGCATAAACTGTCGATACTGCTGCCGTCCGTTACACAGAGGTTCCTTCTGCAATTCTGAGTAGGACTCTCTCGCTGTAAGTACTTTGTTTGTTGTTTAATATATGAAGGAGATGAGCACGAATGAGGATGTAGGAAAAAAGTGATAGACGGTAGCTGTGAGAAAGGTCGATAAATTTGCTGAAGATGACCCATAGTAAGAAAAAGTAAGCAAAAGAGTAATACAGAGACGAATGCAGGATAGTCAGCGAGAGGTTATAGTGAATGATAGATATAGGATAGAATTAAAATAGGATGAATGGGGTGGGAAAGAAACATGACTGGAGAGACATGTTCGTCAGTGGTCTGTGTGTAATGGACATTAGAACACCAGTGACCTGGAGGAAAAGGTTCCGGGAGAATAAGCGAATCAGGTCTTTTCCTTCAGAAGCCCTTTAAACACTCGGTAATCACGGACATGGTAGCGAACAAGGTATTCTATTCATTAATGGTCTCCAAACGACATTCTCTTCTATGCACACCTATGCTGTACTACGATAACACACTCAGCCACTTACCTCATTTACATCAAGGATCATCTAAAAATTGAAATAAGTCCAACATAGAATAGAATATAAGTCATTCTTTTTAACGTGAAAATTTAGCACAAACCTTTTCGATGTACTCCACGCAACGTGCCAAAAACAACGGTATACCATCGTTCTTCTCAGCCAACGTTTCCAACGTGTCACTGGCGCTGACAACTCCTTGGACGTTCTAAATGGTAACTACTAAACTACTATTGAGGTAAACCCCAGAAAATCCGTGAAATCTCATGCCAAACTCTGCTACATACCTCGGTAGTCGTTTTATGAGCTCGCTTTGGTGATCTCGACGGCAACCACGAAAACGCGTTGGACGCTTTTTCAGATGATGCTGGAACTAAAGATGTATTAGGTAGGCAAATTCCAAACGATGATCATTGCTTATAAAACGCTTTTTCTAGCATGCAGCTATTTCACACTTGCTTCCTGATTTGGCTGCCATTTTAAAGAGTAAATGTTTGAAAGTGAATAAAAAAAAAAGAAAGAGGAATCTCACCAAATTTGATCAAGAAGCGCT